AAAAGAAGAGGGGAGTGGTTTCAACTTGCCTCACCCCCCAACCTTCAAGCCAAAAATAAGTACTATTTGGCCTTTTACAGGAGGGCAGGGGGTGGGGGGAAAGGGAGGTGGGGGGGGGGAGGTGGAGGGGGGGGGGGGAAGGGGGGTGGAGGGGGAGGTGGAGGGGGGAATGCAGGCCCAGGACTAGAACAAGACCTCTCAACTTGTTTTAAAGGCAGATACATTAATATTTAACCCTCACAAATTTCTTTTTGGAAAGGAAGTCTAGTCTATGTAAACCTCTGAGAACAATCGCCAGATCGTATCCTGGCATTGAGGATCACGGCAGAAGCAGACACCCTGGATGAGACACGGACGCCAAGGCCCCATTACCTGGACTCAGACGGGCTCCGCCCGCCACCAGCTGTGCAACCATCAGCAAAACGCTTACCTTCTCTGTGCATCCGTCTCCTACCTATAAAACGAGGCTAATGATGGCACCCATCACTTAGGGCTATGATGAGCATTACATCAATTAACGTGGTAGGAAGGAGTGTTATAAATAAACATATTTTTTACTGCATGTTTATGCCAAGAGAATGGAGATACTTAGAAAGTAGTTAAGATCATATGTAAACCTCATCATGTTTCTGAATATGGGAAAAAAGATAAGCAGGAATTAGAACGTGGACATGCGCCCTTTTGTCGGGATGCACTCTAAGCCAATGACATGCATTAATATCTCCTCTAATTGCTTTTTGATTGGAGGATGTAACTATTTGTCTCCCAAACCAGGGGCATAATTTTGCAATCAATGGCCTTGTTTCAGATAATAAACAAATTGTATGCTGAATGGTTGAGTAAATTCTGATACAAAAATCTAACTACTTAACAACTCCTAATCTGGGGATATCAAATTGGCATAAAGCAGAGGCACAATTTGTGGAAAGCCTAGTGACAAGCTTAGCTTGTTTGGCGAAGGTTGTGATCAGTTCTCAGAAGAGAGCCAACAGAAAACAGTGTCTCACATTTAGAGAAACACATCCTCAACACCACGCCAGGAACCAAAACTGGGGGTTAGGAAATCCACAGCTTTTTCATAATTGCAGGTCATCATAGCAAATGGTCCGTCTGGTGTTTAGAGCTTTATATTCATTGATGTGAAATCTTTAAATAGACTATGTTTTGTAGGAAGTGAAATCTTTATAGGGTAGTCTTCTATCTTCTATAAAATATAATATCTTGAAAACTATACACTAACACAGAACTCTACACGGGACTGCAACACCTGCTGGTGGTCAAGTGTTTAAAAAATGTGACCATTCCCACGAACGCATTTCCGCTACAGGTGTTTCTGGAGGAAGTCAAGTGGCTTTCGTCACGTACAATAGTGACATCCACTGAGAATGGTATTGGTGAAGAGCAATGCTGAGGCTTTTTAATTCTATTACCTTATTCCTCCAACTTTCAATCAGCATTTATTTAACGCTTCCATTGTGGGAGGAGCAATGAAAATGCAAAAGAGAAAGCAATTAATCCAGCCCAATTGGATTTATTTGGGACAATGGCTAAATTCTGCATTAAAATGTAAAAAATAAAAAAGAAATTTTGGGTTGCTTAAGACAGACTTAGATTATAAGTCTCCTGTTGTTTACTTCTTAATGGTTCTAAACATTACATGTCATGTCCCTTTACGAAATTAAATTTTTATGCTTTAGAAATCTTCAATAATGACTTTTCCAAAACTTTTCAAGAACTTATTTCTTAAGTTTTATATTCCTTGCAAGAAAACAAAACAAAATAGTGAAGAAAGAAGACTTCAAAGTATTTTAATTTTTGTCTACTCACTTCTTGTCTTAAATTACTTATGTATATATTTGAATATAAGAAAATAAATCTTGCCGGGACAGGTTTGGCTCAATGGTTAGAGTGTCGGCTTGGGGACTGAAGGGTCCTGGGTTCAATTCCGGTCAAGGGCATGTACCTTGGTTGCGGGCATATCCCCAGTAGGAGGTGTGCAAGAGGCAGCTGATTGATGACTCTCTCTCATCGATGTTTCTAACTCTCTATCTTTCTCCCTTCCTCTCTGTATAAAATCAATAAAAATATATTAAAAAAAAAAGAAAGTAAATCTCTTATTTTTTAAATTTATTGCCCTAAATGCTTAGTTTGCTAAAATATGAATCTGACCATAAATGACATACTCAAAAAACAAATCAACTAGAGCAAAAATTAAAAGTTAATTTTTAATTTAAAAATTTAAGCTTGGGTTGCTTTATTTTTCTAGACATAATAAAAATGCAAAATTACTTAATATTTACAAACATGTTTAAAATTTGTTATTTTAATAGACCTATTTTCTATAGATAACACATTCTTAACAAGTAAGTTCTCTTTAAAGTTATTCTATTTTGTTCTTATTTCAACAGACTGGTCAATTTCCATTTTCCACCTGCTCTGAATTTAAGGAACTATTTAGACTCTAAGAACTACAGGTGGACAAAAACTAATAAATACAATGAATGCCCTTCCATTCAGTCCTCTTCCATAAAAGTGATGCAATTGCAAAAACAATGGTTTAACGCATTTATTTCCCTGTTAACCCACACACAAGGCTGAAAGAACATTTTTATATTATGTTGATACTATAATAAATGGGCTGATATAATGCTATTGGCTGCAACTCAGAGCATTTTCTACATTAAAGTTAGTAACCTGATGCTTATTCTTGCTTTCTTTTTTTTTAGTGAATTAAAATGAGAACAATGCCATTAGTCCCTAAAATTAAAATGTTATAGTTAGCAATAATGTAACAGACTCTCAATTACATTTCTTGCAGATCAACAATAGATTCCCATGAACTATTTTCTGCATCTTTCTCTTTTAAAGGAAAACACAGTTTCTCACTCTGCACAAGTATTAGATGCTTGCAGCATCCATGTCACTTGTAAGCATTCTGTGGTCAGACACCACTACATATCCTTCAAATGACATGGCCCAGCGGAGCCGGGACCTGTCACCATGGAGCCGGCAGCCCGGTATCTCAGCCATCCACCAGGACAGAGCCGGCAGGCCTGGCTGGCGCGCTGCAGCCAGACTAAAGTGGGAGATGGATTTTGCATTTTGAAAGTCAACCCTTGTAACACGGACTCCTGGGACATACTTATTCGGTACAAGTGCATGGAGGGCCTCACAGATTATTTATTGGGTCAAATGTATAAAGCTCATTTCCAAAAATTCCTCTTCGGACAAGCTAACTCTTAAGTTGATTATCCTTCTGGCTTTCTGAATGTATACTAGAGAGTACATTTTTTATTTTATTTTAAATATGGGCACATGTATATTCAGGACTACCGCTGTGCCGTGTGAACCTTGAATCTGTATGATGTAAGCTAAATTAAGTATGCTGCAGGAAGTTATAAAGCGTAAATAACATAATGTTAATCAGCAGTGCCCACGGTGCGATGACACTTGCCCATCACACTAAGCTTACCATTTGGATCGTTAAACACGTGGAAAAAACCCTACAAAATAAATGTCCATTGCATCGACTTAGTCTCACGTGGGTGCCGTGTTCACTGCTTAAGCACAGGGCTTTGGAGTCTTGCCTGTGTTATTGTCTTCCTGTCATCTCTTGCCACCCCAGATTATTAACTCATCTCTCACAAATACTAGAAAAATCGACTTACAAGGCTCCTAACGTCAAGGTTTCCCATCCCTCCCGTGGGCCTCCCCGAGCACCGGGGCTGCCTCAGCATCTGCGGAGAACACCTTCCATTTCTTAAAACTTCAGTCACCTGTGTCTGGCAGAAACACCAGCCGGGAAGAACAAACCCTGAGTTGCCCCACCCAGGCTGCTCGGAGTGGACCCCGGCCCCCGGACATCCTTCTGAATGGGAAAGTGTCCTCATGGGCGCCTGCGCCCCGCGTTCCCTCATGGAACACCTCGGTGGATCAGACTCGGGTAGCCTGGCATCGGGGATCCTGATGTTTCATCACAGGAAACAGAACAGATACTGCTGCCGCTTTTCGAAAAAAAGAGGCAGCGTCTCTAGTCTGGGGCTCATTAGAAAGGGTTTACAATAGGAGGCGGTAAAAAATGACTGTCAGATCCTACGGGGTATTTTTCTGTTTTTGTTTGTTTTCATCTCAGCAGCACTGTGCAAAGGCATCCTTTCTCTCTCCCCTTGGACACGAAATCCGATTGGAATACACGCCAGGGACAGATTGCAGAGAGCAGAACCGCCTCATCAGCTCCCCGGGCTCTCCGCGGCTCCTGGGCAGCACACAGACCGGCCAGGGCCAGATGACTGCCTACCTCTCCATCCTCAACTAACCCCCCTTTGAGATAGGGGCCACTGGGCAAGATCCACCAACACCCCGAAATCTCTGGCTTTGCCCTCCTTTCAAAGTGACAGGGAAAGGCTCCCCACAAGACAGAAAAGTTTGCCTGGGCCAGGCATGCCTGCGTTTCCAGGAGCCACCCTCACAGACACAGCACCTGGAGGCTCCCCCCTCCTCAGGGAGCAGCCCCAAGGCGCTCAACACCAGGAACCCCCCTGAGCATCTGATGAAAGAAGGCTAGCTTCCCTCCCCAGCTGCCAGGTGCTTCCCATGGCTCAGGGCCGGGGCGACGCTGAGGTGCAGCCCGGAGGGAACTTCTGGTCCAAGACAATTTGGGTCCAGGTGCCTCCCGGATGGAGATGGATGGAGAGGGCTGCAAGGCTGCGCTCTCACTGCCCTGGCCTTGGCCCCACCTGCCTGCCCATTTGGGTCCATGAGCCCCAGTTTTCCCGCTCTGGGGGTGTGCGGAGGACCTGGCCACCCAGAGGCTGGGGAGGCTGTTCCAGGCCCGCCCCTGTGGACCTTCTAGGCACCCTGAAGTCAACTTTCCCCGCCGCCTTCTGGATTGTTTGTTTGCTCTGTTTGCAGCCTGCCTGAGCCCCCCAGCCAGCGCATCCCTCTCACCCTCTTCCTCCCTCTCCTCCCCCACCTCCCCAACTCTCCCCTCCGCCGCCTACCTGCTGGCCAGGCTCTGCCGGCAGTGCTGCCGGAAGGGCATCAGGTGGTAGTTCATGGCGTCCAGCAGCAGCTTCTGGCAGACGGGGTCGCTGCGCATGAAGTCCACCGGCTGCACGCGCTCCACCAGCTCGGGCGCGGGGATGAGCGCGAAGCGGAGGCGCTTCATGAGGTCGGGCGCGTGCGGCATGCGGGCCTCGCGGTCGTGCTCCAGCCACAGCACGGCCATCTGGAAGAGCGCCAGCTCCGACTCCACGGGCGGCGGCAGCGCGTCCAGCAGGGCGCGCAGCTCCTCGAAGTTGAGCAGCAGCACGTCCTCCACCAGGTACTTGTTGGCCAGCTTCTTGGTCTCCTCCAGGCCGTGCAGCGCGGCGATGCGGCACACCTGCTTGTAGTTCTGCACCGAGATCTGGTCGTTGAGGAACTGCACGCAGAGCCTGGTGACCTGCGGGATGTGCAGGATCTTGCTCACCGACAGCACCTCCTCCGCCGTGTCCAGGGACAGGGTCACGTTGGCCGTGTAGAGGTACTCGAGCACCAGGCGCAGCCCGACGGACGAGCAGCCCTGCAGCACCAGGTTGTTGATGGCCCGCGGGCCGGCCAGCAGCTTGTCGTCGGGCGAGGACGCGGGCGTCCCGGGCTCCTCCTGCGGCGGCGGCGGCGGCTGCTGCGGCGGCTGCGGCGGGTCCTTAGGGGCCCCCGGGCCGTCCTGGCCGACGCCCCCTCCCCCGAGAGGCGGGGGGCTGGAGAAGAGCGAGCGGAAGTACTGCGAGCAGGAGGCCAGCACGGCCTTGTGGCAGTGGAACTGCTGGCCCTGCGCCGTCAGGGTCACGTCGCAGAACAGCTGCTTCCTCCACAGCAGGTTGAGGCCGTGCAGCAGGTTGTCGCTGTGGCTGGGGTCGAAAGTGGAGGTCCGGTCCCCTGATCTGGACATGGCGAGCGGGCTGGGCGCACCTGGCTTTAAACCCTCCTCCAGCCTGGCAGTCAGGGGCGGGGGCGGGGGAGGGAGAGGCGCGGGGAGCGGAGGGGTGGGGTGGGGTGTGGCGGGGTGGGGTGGGGATGGGTGCGGAGGGGAGGGGAGGAGAGGGGAGGGCGAAAAAACAGCGATCAGGGCTCCGCCCGGTTCCTGCCCCGCGCGCCTCGGACCCCCAACTCCCGGGGGGGACCCGTGAGCGCCGCCCCAAGGTCCCCAAGGCGCGGGGTCCGGGCGCCCGTCGGCTCCTGCCCCTCCCTGGTCCGCTGCCCCCGCGCGAGGCCGCTCACTGGCCTACACCCGCCCCGGCCGGGCGCCTCGGGGGCCGGGGTCCATGCCGGGCCGGGCGCGGGAAAGCCGGGGGTGGGGGGCCGGGAGGGGGAGCCCCCAGGGCGCAGGGGCCGCCGACGGAGCTTCCAGGTCAGCGTGTGCCGGACGCTCTGTGTCTCGCAGTTGGTCCCCCCCCCCTTTTTTAGGGGGGCAGGGGCAGGGGGAGGCGGGAAGGGACTCCGACCAGCGTGCGGGTGGGCGAGGAGTCTTCGCCTTCCGAAAGCGGGGAGCCCTCCCGGCGATCCGTGCCGCCCCGAGAAACTCCGGGGCGCATGGTGCGGGGAGCAGGGGCGGCCCGTTCTCCTCCCGGAAAGTGCGGGGCGGGGCACGGGGCGGTGCAGCGGACGCGCACAGCGGGGGCTGCCCTCAATCCCGGCCCCCGGCCCGGCCCGCAGCCTCCCGCCCCGCACCCCGGGCTTCCCCGGGCCGCTCGGCTGTCCCGACCGCCCAGAGGAGCCCCCCCACCTGGCAGGAGACCCCCGCCGGCCCCCCACCCCGGCCCCTCCTCCGCCCCCCGCAGCTCAAGGCTCGGAAGTTCCTACGGGGTGTCCCCCTTCCCCGCGGGGCAGCACCGAGGAGGGGGAGGAGGGGGAGGAGGGGGAGGAGAGGGAGGGGGAAGAGAGGGAGGAAGTGGGGTGACTGGGGTGGGTGTAGAACCAGAACCGGGAGGCATGGGGGGGCGGGCAATGGCCCCCTTCCGGGACCCCGGGCGCGAGGGCTTTAACTCCAGCAACTGAGCGAAGTTCAAGGGAACCGGCAGGTGTGGGGGAGGGGCGGGGGCTGGGCAAAGGGGGGTGGGGGGCGCCGTGCCTCTCAGGGGGGTCTCTGCCTACCACCCCTCTCGGCGCCACAGCCTCGGGTCCCCTTCGAGCCCCCCCCCCGTGCACCCCCCCAGCGCCCCCCTCCAACGCACACACACACTGGGGGGGGGACCCCACTTCCCCGGCCCTGGGACGACTTCTGCAAAGTCTGAGCCTCCCGCAGCCCGGCCGAGGCAGGCAGGGGGCGGGGGGTGGGGGGGGGGGGGGGGGGGTGGCTAGGCGGATCGATACGCCGGGTCCTTAACCTGTAATTGCACCTTCCAGGGCTGAGCGGAAGGAAGGAAGGGGACCCTCTCTGTCCCCACCTCCGCCCGCGCCCGCCCGCTGCCCGCGGGGACCTCAGCCTCCTCCGCCTCCGCCGCCCCGGCCCCGGCTCCGCGGGACCCGCGGTCCGGCCCCTTCCACTGCGGCTCCGGCGCCGCCCGCCCGCCCGCCCGCCGCCCGGCGCGGTCCCGGATCGCCGGCTTCCCGCTGGAACCGGACTGGGCTCCTGGGCAGGCACTTCGCCATCCCGTTCCAGGGGGACCCTAGCCCCCTCTCCCCGGAGCTCGCTCCCCCCCCCCGTACCCCCTCACACTCGCCCCCACAGCGCTGGCTCCCCTGACCAGTCCCCCAGAACCTCCTGTGTAAGTGGACCTGGTCAGACCTCTCTCCTCTCTCCGCTTCGTCGTCTCTCCCCTCTCTCCCCCCCATCTTTTGCTGCTCCCCTTCTGCTTCTCCCTCGCCTGCCCCCCACCCCTCGTCTGCTTATTTCTTGCAATACTTTTCATCTTTATGAGCGCTGGCCACACAACTACCCGCCCCCCGCCCCCAAACTCCCTCCCCACCCCTTCCCCTGCCAACAGCCCCAAAGACAGCCACACACACAGCCAGGCACAGACAGACACAGGCCAGAACTTACCTGCTTTCCACCAGCTGCAAAGTCAAGGCTCACTTAAGCTTCCCCCCCAAAAAAAATCAATTGTCCTTCCTTTTTAAAGGTTTGCTCTCTCCTTGGGAGGGGAGAAACCCTTCTGCCTCCCAACTCCAGGCCGTCACTCTTTACAATTTATTTTGTCGTACATCATTTGATCACCATGAATTAGCAACAGCAAGAAAATGTAGGAGAGGGAGAAAAGAGAGAAAGAGAGAGGGAGAGAAGGAGAGAGGGAGAGAGGGAGAGAGAAGGAGAGGGGGAGAGAGAGAGAGAGGGTGCAGAGCTTTCTGCAAGAGAAGAAGAAGAAAAAATGTACGTGTGACAAATTATGCTACCAAGAAACAACACATCATTATCCTTGGGCCTGGGGCTCAGTGAGTCGTAACGAGAGTAATAGGAAATCCACGGTTGGGGAGAGAAACGGTCGTGCTTGGCCGGTGGAGAGAGACCATACAGGGGGATGGATGCTGGAGAGACTCGCAAAATTATGGCTCAAGGCTATTGTAAAAATTGTCGAGCGTAAATGACTGCGATTTCAAACATCTTTGGAAGAAAGAAGGGGGGGAAAGCGGGCCCCCTCCCTCCCTCCCTCTCCCTCTCTTTCTCTCTCTCTCCCTCTCTCTATAAAGAACCGTCAAGTTTTAGTGCGCATTGCTAATTAGTCAATTTCTCTCTGCCTTCACAGGCTGGCGACTTCGCTGCTGAGCTGAAACTGCTAATTTCTGTGACCAGCTTTTTTCTTAGCTGTGATCTGGATGAATGAGTAGCTGTCTCACAGAGATGACAAAAATAAACTCTAATCCCCCCCAAAATTTCCACCACATCTTTCTCATGCATAGATTTATGATCTTCAAGCGCTCCGTGCAATATGCAAACTTTTTTTTGTGTATCCGTATGTAAGCTGTTGTCTCCAGATTTCACTGTAGTGGTAGGCTGCTCGCCGCCCCCCCCCCCCCCCACACACACACACACCCACCACACACACACACCATGAAATGCAGAAACTGCCTGGCTCAGAGGGTGCCAAGGTGCCACTTGACAATGTCTCCCATATTTGGGGTGTGAGTCTGAAGACACTGGCCCTTGCCTGAGGGGGTGGGGGATGGGAGGCAGCACTGGCTCCCATTTGTTTCTCTGCACCATCCAAGCCCTGGGAGCTCCTGGGGAAACATTCCCTCCATCATTTTGTGTGATTCAACAACCCTCTCTGAACTTCGCTGTCAGCTCCACAGATAAGGGTTCAGAAGGCACATTTTTTTTTTTAATTATTATTGGAAGATTATCTTAGTGTCAGATTTGTCTTCCCATTAGGAGTCTTTTGATTTACAAGGGCTGGAACCAAGCCCTAGGAAACTCAGCTGCAATTTCACAAAGGTAACCTTTCAACTCTGAGGTTCATCTGATAAATAAGGTCAACCGCGGAGGGCTCACATTCCTGACCCTGCTTAGCATGCAGAGCGACCCCAGCGGGAGGCCCAGGCCCAGCTGGGCCAGAGGCTCCTGTGCAGTGGGTGGAGGACAGGCTCCCTGCTCCCTAGACTTACCCCCTGATGTACTGCGCCATTATGTTTATGGCCCTGCATTTTGGCTGTCAATGGGGGTTGGAGGTGTCCAAGAAAGAAAGAAAGAAAGAAAAAAAGCAGAAACAGGAAGGTACGCCCTTGAACAAAATAAACGTGGAAGAAAGCTAGACAGGAGTAATGTGGAGTTCTGTTTGCTATGAAATATATGAGCATAGCTCGTTCTAAGTCATACGTGCTCTGATTAGTAAACTGATTGAAGTACTCATCAGGGCACCCCGAAAGGCCAGCTTTTCACCTCCCCTGTGGTTTTGAGCGATGGAAAGTCACCTGCTGAAGGGCGGGGAGAACTGAGATTCTTTGGTTCAGAACCAGGGAATTCCCCATTGAGAATGGTAGGCCTCGACATGCGTATGGGATATTTCCTCTTATGGAAACGATCCTTCTGAAGCATTTCCCCCTCACAAAGGCCTTTTTCTATGAAGTCCTAGATTATCTGAGAGTCAGACTTCTTGGTTCAGATCTTGCTGAGATGCTACATCCTCATATTCATATCGACAGTAGAAAGGCCCCAATATATGGTGAAATTAAAAAAAAAAGGGATTTTTTGTTTGTTTGTTTGTTTGTATAGACCAAGTCTACAGGCCCCACTCTTTGTTTTGATTTTTCTTTTTTGAAGCCCTTATGCAGGTCTTAAATAGGAAGATTGTGTAACTATAATATAGCACCGTTTGGGGGTTCCAGTTCATCAGCAATTGAAGCTACCAAGTATGTGGAAGGAAGGTCACCACATTCTCACACACGCAAAGCACAGTCTGTATTGTATGCTTTGAGGCTGATCTTGTATGAGCTTCCAATGAAGTATTTGGAACTAAATCCAAAGGGGGATGAGAGTTTTGATCTCTTAAATTATCACCATCTTTTCATAGTAAAGGAATTTAGGTATGTTTTGTAGACTTCAAAATGTCCCAGTTTTGAATTTTTTTTTCTAATAGGATATATCGAACACTGATTATGACTATTAGGATCTTTGTTGTTTCCAAATAATATAAAAAAGTCCCATTTCAAAAAATGTGACTACCAGTACCTATCCCTTGAATGCTTATTTAACAACCTCATGGGGATGAAAAGGGGCCTAGGGCCTTGCAATTCCAAAACAGCTGCAGGAATGAAGTGTCTGGACTGTTTTTTTCTGAGGTTTAAAGTTGCATTTTTGAGGATATTTAAAATTCCAGAGGAAAAAAAAATTACAGTTATGGCCATGTTGAAAACAATGAAAGAAAAATTGATAGTTGAAAAAAAAAATCTCTACATAAACGGTGCATAAGCTAGCATATATATCACGTAAATCTCACACAGGTCCAACATCTTGCACTGGTTTTGACTGAAATTATTACAGAACTTACAAACGACATGGCGCTGTTTACAATAATAAATCCCGTTTGCAGGAATCAGATGCTAGCGCCTAAGCGATTGTAAGTGTCTGAATTTTATCCTACTTGGCTGTTTCACGTCTACAGAAATTGCATCCGCTCGTTTGATCTGTCCTGCTGAGCACTGCCAGCAGCTCGCCTCTGGGCTGCGATTGTTTTTAAAATGGCAGAAGGGACGTGAAGTAGGCCAGGGCCTGCCGCAGGATGGCTCTCACATTGTCAGAGAGAAGCCAGAATTATCTCACAAAAAATTAAATACACCCATGTAGTCATCTAAATCTGCAGCCTTCCTCTGTGGGCGGGGCGATCAGAATGACACATTGGTGAATCTGCATCTGAACTGTGGACGGTGGGAAGGTGCTGAAACAGTGGTCACTGAGCAGACACCTAGGGCTGCCACTGGCTGATCAGTATGCTCCGCCTTCGGGGGGCAGGGACCAGGCGGGTCAGTGGCTCAGGAGCTCAGGACCATCCCACTGGTCTGGATGGACTGGAGATGGTCTTCAGGGAAGCTCTACAGTGTTTGTTGCCTACCATGTAAGGACAGCCACCTTAAAATTTATTTTCCCCATCCCGCACTGGCCTGCTTAAGACCCAGGAGCATAAACGAAGGGGCCTGGCCTCCTCTGGGTTTCTTTTCTTGTGTAAATCCTACTCTTTGTGGCCCAATCATTAGGATAGTTAACAATGTAAAAAGGGTGAATGTGCCCTAACTGGTTTGGCTCAGTAGATAGAGCATTGGCCTGCGAACTGAAAGGTCCCAGATTCAATTCCGGCCAAGGGCACATACCCAGGTTGCGGGCTCCATCCTCAGTGTAGGGCCTGCAGGAGGCAGCCAATCAATGATTTCCTCTCATCATTGATGTTTCTATCTCTCTCTTCCTCTCTGAAATCAATAAAAATATATTTAAAAATAAAATAAAATGGGTGAATAAAGAGAAACATGATCCCATTTTACTGATGGAATAAACTTAAGTAAAGAAGGACCTCCTAGCATCTTCACATCCAGGGAGTGGGCCAACCCAGACAAAACTCCTAGTTTCTAGTGTTTTATTTTAAATCTCGGGGGGCATGGCCAGAGCAATCACAAAGCTGTCAGCATCAAGGAGCTTACTGAAGAACAAACATCTGAGCTAACAATAACAGAGAAGAAGTGGAACTATCAACTAGCCTTTTGTTAAAAGCCAGTGGTTTACTGTTGCCCAAGTTTCGTGGCAAACGTCTGGGTTCGCGGGATCTGGTTCTGGCTCTTCTGGGGAGTCTGTTGTTAGCTGTTTTCTAACCGCACCCACGTTCACACCCAAGTGTCTGTGCTTCCGTTGTGTCCTTTCGAGAGGCCTAGCTTCTCTACAGATAAAAACCCCACCAGTCTCTCAAGATTTCTTTCCATTTCCATTGAGAAAGTTTCCCTGGCGGCCTCGAGCAGAACATTACTAGTTAATCCTTTCTGAGCTCATTACTTGTGTGGTGGACACTGGTCTAAAGCCTTTAGATGTTTTATTTTATTTATTTGTGTGTGTGTGTGTGTGTGTGTGTGTGTTTAATATATTGTTGATTTCAGAGAGGAAGAAAGAAATAGAGACATCAATAATAAGAGAGAAACATTGTCTGCCTCCTGCAGACCCTACACTGGGGATCGAGCCCACAACTCGGGGCTCATGTGCCCTTGACCAGAATCAAACCTGGCACCTTTCTGTCTGCAGGCCGATGCTCTATCCTCTGAGCCAAACCGGCTAGGGCTAGATGTTTTATTTTCTTAGTGCTCTTGCTAATCCTATGTGAGATTATGGTCAACGATCCCTCTTGGGATAACACCCCAGTGTAACATGGTTTTGCTGATGTTCCTCATCAAAAGTACAGTCTTGTTTCCCAAACCTACCAGTGTGAGCTGGTCCGTGACTTGCTTGGACCAATAGAAGGTGCCAATAGTGGCTTTGTGTCCACTCCAAGTCTGAGCCTCAAGAGGCCGTGACAATTCAACTATCCCTCGTTGGACCCTGCCAGCTGCTGTGTGAGGAAGCCCAGGTTAGCCCTTCCCCAGCTAACCTCATAGCTGTACTCAGTTGTCTGAATGAGCCCGGCCCCGACAGGAGAACCAACATAGTTTGAATTACTGACCCACAGAACTCGGAGCTAAATAGATGCCTACTGTTTCAAGCCATTTGTTTTGAGGGTGAGTTGTTCCATAGTAAAATAAGCTGATAAAGATTGGCACAAGTGTAATTTCACCAATGAGCAAAATGAAGTGCAGAGAAGTCTACTAAAATGTTCAGGGCCACACAGTTTTTTAAAGGCAGAACTGAGATTTAAACCAATATAGCCTGACTCCAGACAAGAACTACTAATATTCTGCTACCCTGGTCACAAAAGAACTGTCTGAAGCCGGTAAACTTCATTCATTCATTATCTTACAATATAATAAAGAGGTGATATGCAAATTAACCATCAAGCCGTCACAAGATGGCTGTGCCCCCAGCAAGGCAGGGTTCTCATAACGAGCAATCAGCAGGGACCTGAGGGTACATGGAGCTGGGCTGTGCCAGGGCAGAGCACCTGAGGCTGCATCCCCTCCACCCCCAGCCCAGCAGGGCTTAACAGGACACCTCAAGGCGGATCCCCACCCTGGCCTTGGCGAAGGGACCTCAGGCCATGCACCCGGCCACAGTGCCAGGCTTGGGGGACCTCAGGCCTCGTCCCCTGCCAGTCAGGGTTTGACAGGGAAACTCAAGATGTGCCCCCTGCCCCAGTGCTGGGCCAGGGGGCCTCAGGCCATGCCCCTCACCCTGGGCTGGAGGACACGAGGCTGCGCCCCCTGCCTGGTGGGACTTGACAGAGGTGGGGCTGGCTGGGGCTGGATCTTGCTTAATGGGAGTGGACTGGCCAAGTCTGGGTTTCACATGATTTCAATGTGCATGTAGGTGGGCAAGGACTTGACTCTGGGTCACGCGATCTGACAGGAGGAAGGTTTTCATATACATTTTACTAATTTTTTTTTCCATCTCTGACACTTGTATTATAGAAAAAGGGCAAATAGCAATATTAAAATATTTTCTCTGATTAATTCCCCTTTTTAAAAAAAATATATTTTATTGATATTTTACAGAGAGGAAGAGAGAGGGATAGAGAGTCAGAAACATCGGTGAGAGAGAATCATCGATCAGCTGCCTCCTGCACCACCCTCACTGGGGACATGCCCGCAACCAAGGCAGATGCCCTTGACCAGAATCGAACTCGGACCCTTCAGTCCGCAGGCCGACGCTCTAGCCACTGAGCCAAACCAGTCTCAGCTGATTAATTTCCTTTTAATGTGCATGAATTTTGTGCACCAGGCCACTAGTTTATTATATGAGACAAACTGCTAAACTTTGTAGATACAATTATGAATAACACTGCATCCTTGCCCCTAAGGGGCTAATGTTCTCAGAGGAGAGACAGGCAGATGAACCCAGCGAGCGAATCACTACAATGTGATCGTTGTTGTAATAAGAGTGTATGTCATAAACTACTTGAGCAGGAAGATGCAGGCCCCTGACTTCTCTATAGCACTTACTATCTGTAATACTTTTGACACTTATTACTTACTGCTTTATATCATTAATTGCTTATTTAGGGACATACATTTTGTGATTTCAACTAGATTATAGGCTTCTGGGGAGAAAGAGCCTTGTGTGGGGGAGAGCCTCTCATGGCACATAGGTCTGTGCCTTTCCCACAGTCGTTATTAGATAAATAATATG